ATGCAAGAGAATGTAAGTGCTCCATATACATTTAACCACACACACGTGCTCACAAATATGTTATACAATTCTTCACACACACTCATATCCATACAAAGAATGAAAACCGAGTCACGCACACTCTCTATATTCATTCTAATAAGTCCATGTATTCCATATATATTCTTCATGACTAACATCACACATCATCACATTTATTTATCATTATTATTATAAAATACAGATACACAAAGAAGTATTACCATGACGTGTCGGTAGTTGTAGTTTTGTGCATGCTGTCAAGCGCACGTTTAGAGCAATCTTATAACTCTGGGCGGCGCCCGTAGATTTTATTTTTTTAAATTAATATTTTTATTATTTATTATTAATTTATTTAATTTTTCAGTCTAAAAAATTTTTTAAATAAATTTATAATTAATCTAGAAAATTTTATTTGAAAAATATATATGAGTAATTTAATAATTGTTTAATGTTGTGCGCTATTAGTTGTTTAAATTACTTACACATGGGATTTCCGTACTATGGATTAAAACTTTCTCTGTATAGACATGGAATTTTACATAAAGTCAGTATGTATTGATATATTATTATTTTTTATAATTTTTATTATTATTATTATATTGTCAAGTTAAAGTGTACTTTTTATTAATTTATTTATTTTATTAATTTTATTGAAGGAATTCAATTTATTTGACCTCCAGTTTTATTAGTTTTTGTTTAGATAATTGTGAATTATGATGAAGATTTATTTATCTTTTTTTCTAATTAATTAATTTATTATTTTTTTTTTATTAAAAATAAAGAAATTTGTGAGTTTGATTAAAAAATTTTGAGCAATAATAATAAAAATAATAATAAATATAATTATAATAATTTTTAAAAATTCTTTTAAATGTAAAATTTTCAGAAGTTACTTTTTAATAATAATTTTACAAAATTTAATAATAATAATAATAATAATAATAATAATAACACTCATATCCATACAAAGAATGAAAACCGAGTCACGCACACTCTCTATATTCATTCTAATAAGTCCATGTATTCCATATATATTCTTCATGACTAACATCACACATCATCACATTTATTTATCATTATTATTATAAAATACAGATACACAAAGAAGTATTACCATGACGTGTCGGTAGTTGTAGTTTTGTGCATGCTGTCAAGCGCACGTTTAGAGCAATCTTATAACTCTGGGCGGCGCCCGTAGATTTTATTTTTTTAAATTAATATTTTTATTATTTATTATTAATTTATTTAATTTTTCAGTCTAAAAAATTTTTTAAATAAATTTATAATTAATCTAGAAAATTTTATTTGAAAAATATATATGAGTAATTTAATAATTGTTTAATGTTGTGCGCTATTAGTTGTTTAAATTACTTACACATGGGATTTCCGTACTATGGATTAAAACTTTCTCTGTATAGACATGGAATTTTACATAAAGTCAGTATGTATTGATATATTATTATTTTTTATAATTTTTATTATTATTATTATATTGTCAAGTTAAAGTGTACTTTTTATTAATTTATTTATTTTATTAATTTTATTGAAGGAATTCAATTTATTTGACCTCCAGTTTTATTAGTTTTTGTTTAGATAATTGTGAATTATGATGAAGATTTATTTATCTTTTTTTCTAATTAATTAATTTATTATTTTTTTTTTATTAAAAATAAAGAAATTTGTGAGTTTGATTAAAAAATTTTGAGCAATAATAATAAAAATAATAATAAATATAATTATAATAATTTTTAAAAATTCTTTTAAATGTAAAATTTTCAGAAGTTACTTTTTAAATATAATTTTACAAAATTTAATAATAATAAAAATAATTTTGAAAAATTTTTTGAAGCATAAAATTTTCAAAAGTTACGTTTTAATAATAATTTTACAAAATCTAATAATAAAACATAATTTTTTATTTTTTAAATTTCTTAATAATAACTTTTCACTGCATTGACACTCAAATGCAATGTACTAGCATTTAAAATCAATACAATTTATTAATTTTAGTCAAAATTTTTGAAAATTTAATAAAAAAAATTGAATTGAAAAAGCTTTTTAATATTAAATAACATTTTTATACTACATTGACTTTCAAAATCAATGCATTTTTCTATAATAAGTGTTCCTGCTTACATTAACTTGTTTATTATCAAAAATTGAATTAAAAGTTATTTTATATTACAAATAACTTAATTAAGCTACATTGACTATTAAAATCAGTGCATTGGTTTTATAATCGATAGTACAAATTAGTTTCTGTAATTATTGTCATAATATTAAAAGGTAATAAGCTAGATTAAAAGTTCTGTTATATTACAATTGACTTTTTAAACTACATTGACTCTTGAAATCAATACAATCATTTTTTTTTGCTTGTATCTTTTAATTTACTTAATCAATTTATATGAAATTTTGAAATTGAAATTTAGCAATAATAATAATAATAATAATAATTATTATTATTATTATTATTATTATTATTATTTTTCAGTTTTTTTAGACTAAAATTAAATTTTAATAATAACAATAATAATAATAATAATAATAATAATAATAATAATAATAATAATAATAATAATAATGAAGCTTTTTTGAAATTTATTATTTTTTTTTTGTAATTTATATTAGATTAAAATTATATTTTAATAATAATAATAATAATAATAATAATAATAATAATAATAATAATGCTTTTTTGAAATTTATTATTATTTTTTTTTTTGTAATTTTTATTAGAGTAAAATTATATTTTAATAATAATAATAATAATATAAATCTTAAATATATATATTTTTTATAAAGTTGGCAGTACATAAAATGTTAAAAACTGAAACGGGATATAGTCGTGAGACAATGTTTCGGTTGGGTTCACCTGGTGAATAAGCGCCCATTGTTACTGTCGAGATTTTAAAATAACATTATGGCGATAGCTGCTCAACTATTTTTTTTTTCTTATAAATAAAATTCGAATTTATATAAAACAACTACAACATTCTATAAAGTATTAGATTAAATTAACTTCAATTTTGTGAGTGCTTGTCATGTTCTTCGTTGAAATTTCGGTAATTTTTTTCCTTATATCAAATACTATCAAACTTTATCATAAAAATAAAAATAATCTTAATATATTTATAATTTATATTTAAATTAATAGTAAATGACATTCTTTTTAATTATATTACTTTACAATTTAAAAATACAATAAGTAATGATACTAAGAATTTAATTTAAAATTGAATTAATTGACTTCCGGTGACTCATTTATGTTACTTCAAGCAAATTAATTCAATTAATTAATTGATAGAACAAGATTTGAATAATTTATAATTACAATTTTTTTTTTATTTATTAAAATTTTTAATAAATTTTTTTTTATTAATATAATTATCTATATTATAAAAACAATAAGAAAAATAAGTATTAAGGTTGCATTCAAAAATTCTCTATCTCTAGATACATAATTAGAAAATGACCTTGTATCTTGAGAACTATTGACATTTTTAAAGATATAAGCTCATTCTGATGTTACACTCATCGAGACCTTTCATTTAAGTACCCACATCCATTTTCATATATATTATATATATGTATATATGAAAAATATATCAAAAAAGGATGTGGGTACTCAAATGAAAGCTCTTGATGAGTGTAACATCGGGATGAGCTTATATCTTTAAAAATCTCAATATTTAAGAAAGTACAGTGCAATTTAACAAAAGTCATTATTTAATATAGCAAAATTTTATTTGTTTATAGTTCACAAATCATGGCAGTCACATAGTGCTAGTCAATTATTGATTAAAAATTTTTTTTTATTTTTTTTCTTCTAAATTATTAATTATAAATTAATGTTACAGCAATATGGAAGTACCGATTCATGTGATAAAGAAGACAATAATTATGGAGTGCATACTTGGGCTTCAGGATTTGAAAAATTATTAAAAGATCCCGTTGGTCTACAAACATTTGCCGTAAGTTAATAATTAGTTTCTACACTCAAAATTATTAAAATATTTTTGTTATTAACAAATATTGTTAAATTATTGAATTATTATTAAAAAATGATATTAATAAAATTTTTTTATTATTAAAATAGGAATTTTTGAAAAAAGAATTCAGTCATGAAAACATTTACTTCTGGGCAGCTTGCGAGAGGTACAAAAATACCGATGACACGTCAAATAGACGTACACTAGCTTGGAAAATCTATGAACGTCATCTGTCAGCGACTGCTGGTGAGCCAGTAAATGTTGACAGTCATGCGGCTGGACAAATTACGCAAGAGTTAATCAATTATGCTCCTGCTGATCTTTTTCTGCAGGTAACTATTAAAAAAAAAAAAAAAAATACTTGATTGTTATTCAAATTAGGTAATTATTATTCATCAGGCAAATTGAAGATGTTAAATTGGTTTATTAATAGAATTTTTATTTTTTTTTCTTTAAATTAATTTGAAGAAATTTTATTGTTACTTATAGGGTAAATGCACCAATTATTGACCGATTAAGGTTTTCTTTTTCTGTACTAAGCTATAAAAAATCTATTAACCTACTAAAACCAATTTATAATGGATTTTATTAAAGTTAAATACTTAA